TGCTCTTTGAAAGAAACATTGAAGATATGTTGGTTTGAGTGATAGATAGGTGCATAAAACTGTAGTCAGTAGTGAAAGTGTAAAATCCAATGGGAAGCTTACCAGTTTCCATTCTAAATAGCTACTGTAACTGTATGTGATTTCATTGCATTGTATAGTATTTGGCAATGGTTGATTCTGTTGTGTGACTTTTTTTGCAACTTTTTATGATAGTTTATATAAAGAAAAAAATGTTTGAGAAAAGGAAAGCAATACTGTGTTTGTTAAATTTTGTGTTCATAAGAAATTAGCTTAACAATTTTGAAATTCTAATTGCATTTGCTTACAAGTTTTATTTATTAACCAACTTTACTATTCTAGTATTTTTTTTGTAAAGCATTTGAAAATGCTTTATACTACAGAGATTGTTGTTTTATTTAAAACTGTGTGTTTGTGGAGGTTTTCTATTCTTTGTTAATATCTGAGTCAATTTAATCTGAAAATAGGGTAATCCTTTGTATTATTCATAGATTTGTAGCAGTACTGTTAGTATATAAATATTTTTTCCTGGAACAATATCATATCAAATAACTCAATAACCTAGACCAACTGACCCAAATTCTTTGTTAACATAAAATGCTTTTTAACTTTGGATAGGTTCATAAAATATTAATAACTGGAAAGAACCAGTTGAAGATGTACTCTTTGCATGTGTTTAAGATATCTTTGAAACACCAGTTGGCCTTAGCCCAATATGACATCTTGGACAATAGTGCCATCTGCTGTTCCCAGCCTGGTACTGCTATTATAGGAGACCCCACCCCACCCCATTTTGTTTACTATCGAAAATTTAAATATAAACTAAAGTTTGTATTTTCAAATGAAGTGAGCATTTTTCATTAGATTTCATCTTCTTTATTTCACAGGTTAAATTTGTATATAATAATTGGTAATATTCTAAACGAAAACTTTGTAAGTGCTGTTATAACATGAAATCATCAATAACCTCAAGTATGGGAGCTTTTTTAAAAAAATAAAATTAACAGTAAGAACATTGTATTTTGTGGGAGCTGAGACAGGGTTTCCCTGTGTAATAATACTGACAGTGCTGGAGCTCACGCTGTAGACCAGGCCGACCTCGAACTCACAGACATCCACCTGCCTCTGCTTTCCAAATGCTGTGATTAAAGGGGTGCACCACCACTGCACAGCCAAAATTACTATCTACAAAATTAGTTAATACTGATATTTTTGTCTCAAAAGGACTTTCTGATTCCTGTGTGTGTGTATTTACAACACATCTTTTCCATGGCAGTGGATCAACAAGGAATCCGTTGTATTTACCAATGACGTCCTTGTAGAATCACTAAGTGCTAATGGGTGTGTTTCCTTCCTGTTCCCCGTGTTAAGGTTTTTAAGCATATTTTAATTTTATTCTTCTAGTAACTCTTTTCCTTCCTGCTGACACTTAGATTCAGGGAGGGTTGAGCTCTGTCCCTAAGCTATAGCTGCGGACCTTCCTCTCCCAGCCTTCCTTCCGGTTTTTAGTCAGGGTCTCGCTGTTACTCAAGCTGGTCTCCCACTCACTCCACAGCCCAGTCAAGTCTTGAACTCACTATCCTGCCTCATCTCCCCAAGTAGCTAGGATTACAGGTCTGTACCGTGAAGTGAACTTTCCAAGGATTTTTGCTTTTCTTTCTTTCTTTCTTTTTTTTTTTTTTAGCTAATAAGATGCTTTACATGCATTATGTAGACATGCAAGAAGTAACTGATTAAGTCATATTTTCTTAATCTTAAGTTGATGAAGAGCCTTTTTTGAATGGCATGTAACAAAGAATCTGGTCTCATAATGGCATGGAATATGTTGTGGGTGTTCCGTTCTACTTCCTAAAACTTTAAGGTTAAGCTTAAGACTTAGACTTACAGACAGTGATGCTAGAATTTTGAATATGGGGCAGTTTAAAATATTTTATGGTTATTGTTTTCAGAAAATATAGAGCTGAGCTATTATTATAAAGCAGAAATTTTACATCCCCCATGCATCTTCCCATTTTTAATTTAAGTATCATTGTTGCTGAGTTTGGGCTCAGCATCAAAAGATAAAAGCTGCATAGTTTGTTTTCACATTGTAAATCAGGCAAGCTGGCTTTCTCCTCTCTGCCCTGTCACCTTGTTAGTCCCGAGGTGATTTTCTTCTTAAAGGACAAGGATAATGTTCCATTTTCTCTAATCTTTCTTCTCTCTTTTGTAATTTCTACAGTGCTATTTTAATAAGCACACTGGCCCTTTGGCTGGATTCTGTGATACCACATTTATTTGTATTATGCACTGGTTGTATTTTCAAATTTAAAGCTACAAACACTGTGAGCTTTAGAGATCAGTCCTGTTTCTCAAGTCACCTCTGACATTTAATACTAATGATGTGCTTTGCAAATCCAAATGAGAGAATATGTTAGACAGAGAAAAGAAATCCAAGAGAGCCAGCAGCTGATACGTAGGAGACAGCACCCTGAAGCCGGAAATAAGGGCTTCTTATTGAGAATTTGTGAGAGTAAATAATTCTGGTAAATTCTGGTTTCAAAAAAAATGTTGTTTTCAAGGAGACATTAAAGTTGGTACCCATTTTTTTGTTATTTTTCTCTGCCATAGCATTCCTCCCATGCATAGAATCTTAAAAATTACACATTAGTAGGGGATGCATTAATATTAATACATTAGCTAGACAAAGACTCTCTCATTTCATATGCTCAGTACATCACATAATTAAAATCTTGAGACCCTTTTATACTAAAGCAAAGGGACCTATTTCCTGTTCTGTAACACTTTGACAGTGTGTGCATTTACACAGGAAAATGTGTTCTTCCAAAAATAGGGAAGTTGGCTGCAGATGCTGGTGCTTCCCAGCATTCCACACACAGCTTCTCAGAGAAGACTGGGCTGAGGGGCGGGGGTAGTCTTCCCCTTGAGCAAACAAATTTTTGCACGGGACAACACAGCTATAATCTGTGATTGGCCAAGAGTTGAAACAAAAGTATTTAAGACAATGTCAGATTTTTTTTTTTTTTTTTGGCTTTTCCTTTTGTGTTCATTCTGTTTTGGTCTGTAACAGCGTCTGAGCATTCAGGGCAGGATGCTGGAATGCAGAAGCTGCTTTCACAGATCATCTCACTAAGCCCCACACCTGTCCATAAAGTCTGAATCCCAAAAAGTTGGGCTGCCATAACTGAGTGTGCGTAGCTTCTAGTCCAGCCGTGTGGTGCTAGCAATGCTGAGAGAACGTTTCTGCAGCAGGCGTGTAGTAACCCTTTGTCTAGCTAACACGTGGGGAAACACAAGTCAGTAAAGTGACACCTGAGAATTGCTTCTTACTAAAATGCTAACTGTGAAAGGAAGCGATTTTAATAACTCAGCCATCAATTGAGCATTCATAAAAGCATGACCATCAAGCTATAAAATAGGTAACTGTCCATCTGTAAACTAGCGTAGAGAAAGCTCTAAGCTGTCGTGACCTGGACTGAAGACTTGGGAAGTCAAGGGGAATGTAGTGTGTCAGTGTCGCTCAGTAGGAAGAGATATAAATGCTTATAGTTTTATAAATGATGCAGTCAAAATCCGAACTTAATAAAACTAATTATCTTGGGGATTAAGGATGAACTCAGAGCCGGGGATAGGTAAAGCAGTCTAAGTTTTAAAGTTTAGCCCAGAACATCATCACAGTATAAAACAGATGTTAGTCATAAAACAAGACCTAAACATCATTAAGTTTCTTAAACATAAGCTTAAGAAACTGAATAGCCCTATCAAATTAGTAGCTTAATGAAATAGAGAATTATTTCAAGTGTCTTTAGAGCAGTGGTTCTCAACCTTCCTAAGGCTGTGACCCCCAACCATTAAATTACTTCATGCTACTTCATAGCTGTAATTGTGCTACTGCTATAAATCATAATGTAAATATCTAATGTAAATATCTAATAAGCAGGATATATGATATGCAATCCAAGGGGCTGAAGATGCATTAATACCCCTTGTGATTTATAGTAATTTTTGCCATTCTATTTTTTTAATCTAATGCATACCTCATAAGAAAGTGAGTACTACTTTCGACAGTATTGTTAATGCTGAAGACTTAGCATACGAGAAGATGTGTGACTATAAAATGACCTAGAGCCATAACTGCTAATTGAATTGATAGTAGTCAACATGGACACATATTAAAATTTCTCTCCTAAGTAAGATTTCTTTTTTTCCCTGCACATTAAAAGGACTGAAAAGCCATGGCAGTTCGGCAATGGTGAACATGCCCAGTGCCCAGGTCACTGACTCTGCTGTCTTCCCCCACTAGGAGTCTGGGATTTTAGAGAAGTGGGTAGTTTCACTGGGGACGGGAACTGTACAAGTTAATCCTCCAACATCTGGTGTGCTTTCACTTCTAGGAATCACACTATGGACAAGCTACCCAGAGTTGAAGCAATTTGATCACCAAAATAAGAAAGCACTTGCCATGAATTAAAACTATGTACATATTATTGTGGACTGATAATGGCATCTTTGATCACCTTTAGACCAAAAATACTAAATAAAGAAAAGAAATCAGGCTAGTGAGATGGCTCAGGAGGTAAAAGTGCTTACCACACAAACCTGGTGATCCAAGTTCAATATCTGAATCCCACAGATGAAGAAGAGAACCAGGAGCTGTCTTCTGGCAGCCACACATGCCATAGTACACATGTGAGTTCCTGCACTCACATTCCGAATTTTAGAGAGGAACTATTTTTGTTTCCCCACATACAAGCTGTATTTCAGTCACCAATGGGTGAGTGAGAGAAGGTTCCCCAGTGTAAAAGAATCAGAATTAATAAATACAAGAAAGTTTAATATTTTATAGCCTCTTATTAAATAATTGATTTAGTAAAAAGACAGGTGGTCAGATGCTTCCTGATTTGATGTAAGAAAAATTACAGAGCAGTGTCAGTTATAATTTTTGAACATTTATGTTTTATTTTTGTGTATGTGTGAGTGCCTGCGTGTATATATGTGCACCACTTGCACGCCTGGTGCTTGCAGGAGGCAGAAGAGTACCTCAGACTGTCTGGAACTAGTGTTATAGGCGGCTGTGAGCTGCCAGGTGGGTACTGGGAACTAAACCCAGGACTTTCGCAAGAACAACAATGGCTTTTAGCCCCAGAGACATCTCTCCAAACATCAAATAATATATTTTTGATCAAAATCAATTGAACTGGAATGGAGTCAGGTCTCTGCTGTCAGGTGAGAGGGGACCATGTCAGACAACATCATAAGGTTAAAGCCACCCAGACGGAGATGGCAGAGAACTCTGAGACAGGGATTCACAGTAGACGACAGTGAAAGGGAAGGGTGGTGGGCTGTGTGGGAGGAGACCGACAGTCCCGACCACCAAGCACGTGTAATGTGCATCCTTGCTTAGATCTTGTTCAAACAAGCCTACTGTAGAAAGACGACTTTTAAACCAGTGAGAACTCGATGTGGAGCATGCAAATTATATTTCATTGGTGGTGATTTGAGGCCTGACAAACAGTATTATGATAGCATTATTATTATTGGGATCAAGTCTTAATCTGTTAGCGATGACCACTAAAATATTTAGGGAAAACAGTACATGGTCTGGAGTTTGTTTTTGTATGATATGCCCTCTTGGATTTGTTTACATACTCCAGGTCTCCATCACAGAATATATTAGGAATGAGGCTCAGTGGACTAATAATACAAAGTGTTGGTGATTATAAAAATTGGGTGATGGTTATGGGTAGATATGTTATCCTTTCATTCCTTTTGTGTATTTATTTCCATAATAAAAATGTTGAAGTAGAGGGAAAGGCCGTCCCACAAAGTTATCTTTGATCACCCACAGTCACAATAGCAATGCCTTCTCAGTAGGTTTTAGATTGTTGATGAGAGTCTTAGTTTCTAGGCATATTTTAGTTTTGAAATTCAAGGCGGAAAGTACTTATTACAGCTTAACTTAATGTCCTTCATTTGCATCCAGTAAAAAGAAAGAACCGACCTAGGTATAACGTTGGTAACAGCTTGTCCCAGAGCTCACTCACACTGTTCTTTTTTAGACCAAGCCACGCTGGTGGAACAAGTGAAAAGAGTGAAAGAAATCGAAGCCATCGAAAGTGATTCTTTTGTTCAGCAGACGTTCAGATCAAGTAAGGAAGTCAAAAAAGTAAGTTTCCACATGGACATTATGGATTCCCACTGAAAAGCCTTTGGATTCCCACTGAAAAGATGTGTTATTAATGGATTTTACTTAGATGTGGGTGCTTCCTCCAACAGGCAGATGAGGGAGGGAGGGAGCGTCAGCCATGCTGCTGAGAGAAGGATTCAGTGGAATGAGCCCAAGCCTGCCTACAGAAAGTGCTGGAGACATGCCTCTAACACCGCTTCATTTTAAAGACTACCAAAACAACTAAGATATCACCACCCGTGGTTCTGTAACTCTAATTAATATCCATTTCATGAATATAGACAGGGTTGTTGGTTTTGCTTTTTTACAAATATCTGTGTGCACTTTCTGAATTGTTATTCCTAGACAGATATTGGCAAAGGACTTTAAATGATAAAGCTGTTACTCAAACAGAAGACTCTAGTCTTTGCCCAGATGTGTGCCGTTAATATGTGCCCAGATGTGTGTCACTGATTCAAAAGAAGCTCAAGTAAATCCCTGTCGTTTCTGTTGAACTTTTCACTTATTATTTCACTTGTTAATAAAACTGCTCTTAAGAATTTGCATTCCTTTAGTAAGGAAGGATGTTATAAGAAATCTATGTCTCCTTTAGTAGAGTTGTGTGGTGAAGTAATACTGTAGCTTCCTCCACCGTCTTCTACTTCGACCATGTTGCACGGCTAAAGTGCACATGCACGACTGAATAACGTAGAACTATAGGTGTGACAATCGCTGTTCTCCTAGAAATACCAGATGTCTAGTAGTTATGTTTTAGGATGGTACATGTTTTTAATAAGATGAGGTTACTTGATCAAATTTACATTATTTAATCTTTCAAAAGTTATCCTCCAAAAATATTGTAGTGATCTAAATTCTGCCCAAAGTGCAAGGACCTTTCTGTCTTTTAAACCAAAGCATTTTCATGTTTGTTAATCTGATATGTCAAAATTATCAAGTTCTTTCTTACAGCGTTCCTGGTGTTAATAGAGATATGAAACTTTTAATTGCCAGATTTTTTTGATTTTTAAAACTATCTTATTTTACATATCAATTTCAGTTCCTCTCCCTCCTGTCCTTCCGCTCCCCCCACCTTCTTCCCATCCCACCCTCCATCACCTCCTCAGAGAGGGTGAGGCCTCCCATGGGTTGTCAACACAGTCTGTCGCATCACTTGAGGCAGGACCAAGGCCCTCCCTCTTGTATCTAAGCTGAGCAAGGTATCCCTCCATAGGAAATGGTTTCCAAAGAGCCAGTTCATACAGTAGAGATAAATACTAGTTACACTGTTACTGGTCCCGCAAACTGATCAAGCCTCTCAACTGTCACCTGCATTCAGAGGGCCTAACTTGGTCCTATGCAGTTTCCCCAGCTGTCAGTCTGAGTCAGTGAGCTCCACTAGCTCGAGTCAGCTGTTTCTATGGGTTTTCCCATCATGGTCTTGGCCTCTTTGCATGTGATATCGCTCCTCCCTCTCTATAACTGGACTCCAGGAGTTTGGTCTATTGCTTAGCTGTATACCTCTGCATCTGCTTCCATCGGTTACTGGATAAAGATTCTATGGTGACAATTAAGGTGGTCATCAGTCTGATTACAGGAGAAAGGCAGCTTAGGTACCCTCTCCACTATTGCTTAGATTTTTAACTGGGGTCATCCTGTGGATTCCTGGGAATCTCCGTAGTGCCTGATTTCTTTCTAATCCAATAATGTCTCTCTCTCTCTCTCTCTCTCTCTCTCTCTCTCTCTCTCAAGGTATCTCTTTCCTTTTTTTCCCCCTCTGTCCTTCAACTACCTTCCCAATCCCTCATGTTCTCCCCCAACTCTCTTCTCCTCCTCACTCCCCTACCACCCTTCCGTATCCCCCCACACTTGCTACTTCACCAAAGAAATCTTGTCTGCCTCCTCTTCCCATGCAGGGGGGGGGGGGGAATCCATGTATGTCTCTCTTAGGGTTCTCCTTGTTTCCTGTCTTCTCTGGGGTTGTGGACTGTGGCCTGGTTACCTTTTGCTTTATGTTTAATATCTCCACCTATGAGTGAGTACATACCGTGTTTGTCTTTCTGTGTCTGGGTTACCTCACTTGGGATGGTTTTTTTCTATCCATCCATTTGCCTACAAGTTTCAAGTTGTTGTTGTTTTTACTGCTGAGTAGTACTCCTGTGTAATTGTACTACATTTTCTTTAGCCATTCTTTTGTTGAGGGGCATCTAGGATTCTAGCTATTATGAGTAATGCTGCTATGAACATAGTTGAGCAAATGTCCTTGTGGTATGAGTCTGCATCCTTTGGGTGTATGCGCAACAGTGGTATTGCTGGATCTTGAGGTAGACTGATTTCCAATTTTCTGAGAAACCACCATACTGATTTCTAAAGTTTACACTCTCATCAGCAATGGAGAAGTGTTCCCCTTACTCCACATCCTCTCCAGCATAAGCTGTCCTTGGTGTTTTTGATCTTAGCCATTCTGACAGGTGTAAGGTGGTATCTCAGAGTCATTTTGATTTGCATTTCCTTGATGACTAAGGATATTAAGTTAAATGCCTTTCTGCCATTTGAGATTCGTCTATTGAGAATTCTCAGTTTAGATCTGTACCCCATTTTTAATTGAATTATTTGATATTTTGATATCTAGTTTCTTGATTTCTTTGTATATTTGGACATCAGCTCTCTGTCCAATGTGGGGTTGGTGAATATTTTTTGCCATTTTGTTTTGTGACTGTGTCCTTTGCCTTACAGAAGCTTCTCAGTTTCAGGGGTCCCATTTATTATTAATTGTCAATATCACTATCTGTGCTACTGGTGTTCAGGAAGTGGTCTTTTGTGCCAATGTGTTCAAGGTTACTTCCCACATTCTCTTCTAATTACCAGATATTTTTAAACATAGAGCACACAAAGACATGAGTTGAGTGTATGATGTCTTTCAGCTACAGGACTAGATAGCCTTGGGTCAGCTGTAGTCCTGGGTTTTGGCTGGATTACTGTATTTGAACTTTAACAGTGTTGTTGTCACAGCTCCTGGAAGCCACAGCGATGAAATGGTATTCATATGAATATATGCCTGTCTGTTTACTATCTCAATCTGCATAGTGTAAAGACATCCATCTAAAAGAATGTATTTATTTGAGGGCTTGGCCTTGAATTTATTTTCTAACGTCCATTCTTACTGACATTCTTATAATCAGTGAGCAAGTTTTTCCTGTGAAAAACCTAGTCTAGAGTCTGTAGACTGGGTTTTGTCTGGTGACACTTTCCTGTCTGGTTCTAAGTATTGTTTCTCTTTACGTTTACTTTTAATTCATGTTTTCCTTCATGAAAGCATACATGGGAAGGATTCATGTCAACAGAGCACATGCTGGAGAGGGCATTCCCCTTTGAGTGCACAGTACAGCCGTAGCCCTCTAGCACGTGACTGCTCTTAGTAACTGCACCCGGGATGCTCAGAGGAGCAGTGATGAGCTAACAAGAATAAATTTATACTCCACTGAAACATAAAACGAGGGGCAATTTATTAGCTTAGAAAGTGGCCTCGCTCTCTAGTCTGAAATGTCTGCATCTGCAGTGGAAGGCCAGGACTCAGGATGCCGAAGAGATGAATTATTTATGAGGAGATTACTTAGCAAAGAGAAGTAAATTATCCTGAGTACTATTTCATCCAGGGCCTGGGCAGACGTGATGGGCTATCCTTGATGCATAGCAAAGATTAACTCTCTTGGGGACTAAATCACCCAGGGCCCAAGCTTCCATATCTGTCTCTCCTGGACAGTTTTGTGCTCTTAGTTAAAGTTTGCTTCTTTAAAAAGGCTGCCCATGCTGCCACCCTTTCAGTTGGCGTCAGTTTCCCTAGGAGTTAGGTCCACTAATTAAGCCAGAGAACTGTCACCAGGAGGAAATGCCCCTGGCGATGACATTCTAGACACCGTGGGCTCCTATAATACATATTGATTAAACTAGCTTAGCTCTGAAACCTTACCCAAGAAGTTTGGGGATGTGATAGATCCTTGATACATCATTAGCTTTAGAAGACAAGATGTCCTTTGTTTTCAGGATGTTTTCCCACATAAACCTGGCACAGGTCATTTAGCCAAAGACTGACTGATATGTTTGGCAGATAATCTCTGTGTTCAAAAGGAGAACTGTAGAGAATCCTGCGCAATTTGGGCATCTGTGTTAAGATTAGGAAAGTATTATCCAATTGTACCACCAGGTGGCAGTATTGCACAAAGCCAGGCATTCTGTGGGCCTGTGATGAGGTCCAATTTTATGGTTGAGCAACAGTTTTCTCTTAGGAGTTTCTGTCACTTAACTAAGGAACAGCTACTGATTTTACAAACACTCTCAACCATTGAACAACTCCCATTCTCCAATCCCCGCTTTTGATAGTTTTAATTTATATGTTTATTTGTACTTTTATTAATGTTGGAGCTGGAGAAATGGCTTGGTGAGCGAAAGCTCTTGCAAGCATGAATATATGTGTTTAGATTCCAGCACGCAGAGGGGAAATACCAGAAAAAAAGCCAGGTGTGGCCACATGTGTTCTGTGGGGTAGAAACAGGAGGGCCACTGGGTCCTCCAGGCAGGCAGCCTGGCTCCAGGTTCAGTGCATGGAGTAATAGAACAGAACTCTGTGTCCTCCCCAAGCCTCCATGCATGTATGCCAACACACACATGGAACACACACACAAAGTGGATAATTCGCATGGGGAAAAACAGTGAGGTTAATTGGCTCTGTAATGAGACTGTTATCTCTGCCACTTACAGAGGGAGAATTCCCAAGCTTTTCTGCATTTTTTCAAGGTAGTTCAGCCTGTAGTCAGCATCTCCTGCCTGAGTCCTGTGCTGGGGTACAGAGACAGGTTGTCTTTATGAGGAAACATGGCCTGCCAAAAGCTGTTTTACTGAGTCTTATTGAATTGACATGTGTCCCCCTTTCCCCATGCAGAATATTGGGCTTGCCTTTAACTCAGTTTCACAAATGTGCATCATAACTTTATCTGTACGGCCATGTACCTTCTAGGCCCAATAGATCAGAGTTATTCAAATGTTTGAAATCTAGATGGCATGGAAGGGGGATATTGACTCCAAAATATAATAAAACTGCCAAATAAAGTTTAATAACTTTATTCTTAATGCCCATAAAAGTTAACGTTGTGGTTCATGTGAATATCATTGATTATAAGGTTCAGTCTTGATAAGCATGCCTTCATTCGGAAACAGTTTGTGGCATAAATTTCTCTAGTTTGTAATAATTTCTGCTCTTGTTTGATGACTTCCCAGAAGTGTAGCCTCCAGGATCATCTTGTTTATAGTAGTAAAAGTCTCTCCTGTGCATGCAGACCAGCTTCTTTTAGCATGAAAAGGAATTCATGTTTGAATCAAATCAGATGCTTAAGCAATGGTAATTCTTACCATTACGAATTAATGCATCTGGGATGAAGGGATGGTTGAGTACATTAGATACATGTCATGTAAGCATGAGGACCTGGGTTCCATCTCCAGAAGCTCATAGAAAAGTGTGGTGGTGTGTTTGTAGTCCCAGCACTGGGGGAAGCGGAGACAGGTACGATCCTTTCCCTCACTGTCCTCGCCTGCTTGGTGAGCTCCAGGCCAGTCTGAGACCCTGGACCAAGAAACAACATAGAGAGCACTGAGGAACGCGTTGACCTGGCTTTAACATCTAGCATATGCACACACATACGCTTGAAGCTCACCAAGCAGGCAAGGACAGTGAGGGAAGGGATCGTACCTGTCTCCGCTTCCCCCAGTGCTGGGACTACAAACACAGCACCACACTTTTCTATGAGCTTCTGGAGATGGAACCCAGGTCCTCATGCTTACATGACACGTATCTAAACTCATCCTCTAAACATGGGTTATGCTTAGATTGCTGTGTTGCATTTTCAGTCGGCAGAACCAAGCGAAGTGAAACATGCAACTCCAGCATCAGGACCAGCATCAGTAGCTGCTGAGCCACCCAGCACTGGAAAGGAAATAGACCCTGACAGCATCCCTACGGTTATGCACGCACGCACGCGCATACATACACGCACTCACACACAGAGAAAAACTAATCACACCACATAGGACTTTCCCTTCTACCAAAACAACTATAGAACTTGACAGTATCTGAGGAGCAGGTTTCAGGTATCTGACATTAGGGAGCACAAGGGTGCGCATCCTAAGATGAGTGAAGCAGAGTGTGATTCTCCCAGTCCCCAGGCATTCTGCCTGGACCAGTTTCCTGTGCTGGAGCTGATAGAGGTGTGGCTGGGCTGAGCAAGCAACCACCAAGGCTAGCTACACTCTCTTCTTGGGCCTCCCTCTCATTTTCCTCCTCTCAGATTGTACACACTGTTCCTCTGGCGAAAGCATTCTCTTGTGTCCTCGTCATGTGTCTGGCTATTATTATTACTCGGATCTAAAATTTTACCTCCAGAAAAATAAAAATAAATTTTACCTCCTAAATAAAAGATATTGTGCCTAGGTACCAAATCTAAACTAGACTCACCTCTCCAGTTCCCATCATTCTTACGTATTTCTTGGCAAAGTCTGCTATTATTAATAATTGTATATTTTATATATGTGCTATAATGTGTTCATTCAGACAACAAAGCTCAGCAGCAAAGCTACAGGGCACTTTTCTCGCTTTTCAAGCAGTGTTTAATGAGATGACTAAATTGATAGGTCTCCAAATTGAAGATAAAGTAATCTAAAAAAATTAATTTATGCGTAGTTCATCCTCTAGACGTTTTTCATAGTAATATTTGTTTTGAACTTCATTTTAAAAATGGGTCTTAAGAAGTAGATTTAAGTCAAAAGAAAATAGAAAGTAAAGAAATTGAATCCAGAGATAAAGACCACAGAGAATTGATCTCCCAATTGTCTCTTTTATATTGTATTTTACTTTTAACTTCACATTCTTACCTAATTGATTCATAGAATCCCTACAGCCTGGCTGCTAATCAGTCACTCCTCAGGCCACCTCCTCTATCAAGAAGATTGAAGTTTACCCGAGTCGGCATGTGCCACTGGTTCCTTCATGGCAGGCACAATGGGTTATCAGTCTATGTGTTCCCAGCACTCATAACAGTGTGGACCATGCAAACATTGCATATAGTTTGAAAAAAAAAGCAACAAATGTAGTTTTATTCTTACAGAATATAATGTACCTTTATTTTACAAACTCTTACTTATTTCAAACTATTTTAAGTAATCTTAAAAGATAACACAAGAGTCCATCAATGGGTGATGTGCAGATCCATACAATGGAATATTATTTAGCAACTACAAAAAAAGAAGTACTGATATGTTCTGACATGTATGGCTCTTTAAAATACTAGGCTCAATGAAAGAACCAGCCACAGAAAACCATTAGTGCATGGTTCTTTACACAGACATCCAGAATACACAAAGCCATCACCAAGAGGTTATAAAAAATAAGGAGTGATTGTTAAGAGACATGGAATGTTGGAAGGAATAATTAAGATATTTTGAAATAGATCATGATAACTGTTGTCTAATTTTCTAGATGTGCTAAAATCCATAACATGGTGTGTAACTTGTAGCTAACATGGATAGATAGGTATTTTAAGGATAACTTTCTGAGGCCAACTAAATATTAGAAGTATATTGTAACATTTTTATTATTATAATTCAGACACCAAATATGTATATATGTGTGTGCATGTATGTGTATGCATGTGTATGTGTATTTCAATAGTATAAGGCTAAACAGTGATATCATAAGAAAAGCACGCTGATCATAGGAAATGAAAAAATTCCCTCCACACTTGTATTTGTTTTTGTTTCTTTGAGTAACAGTTTTTTTCTCATTCAGGAATGTGGAGCCTTTTGAGATGACCGTCATCTCAGAGGAGACTTACTAGAGCAATCACTGTTCAGTGTTAAATATTAAGGAACCCATCCTCTAAACATGGATTATGCTTAGATTGCTGTGTTGCATTTTCAGTCGGCAGAACCAAGCGAAGTGAAACATGCAACTCCAGCATCAGGACCAGCATCAGTAGCTGCTGAGCCACCCAGCACTGGAAAGGAAATAGACCCTGACAGCATCCCCACGGCTATCAAGTACCAAGATGACAATTCTCTAGCTCATCCAAATGTGAGACCCTTAAACCTGATGAATCCGCTCAGAGTCTCCCAAGCAGTCCCTCTTTATTCTCACCCTGGAAAGACATGCAGGGGAGGGTTCATGGCTTCTCTTTGCTGCAGATGGGCAGCTGGCCTCGGGCCTTAAGATTGTTTATGTATATTTGAGTCTGGTGTTGTCTACACGTTTCCTGCCTGCTAGAATGATTCTGTACTTAAGAAACATGGTCAAAAAAGGAAAATAGTCTTCCTTTTTTGTAACTGGCAGTAGAAGTTCTAATGCAGGTCAGCTCTGGTTTTCAGGTGTGAGCTGTCACTAATACCATTTACTGTCTCTCTGCAATGATGTGGTTGATGTTTCTCATAAATGAACTCAAAGTCAGTGAAACAACGTTCAGGTTGTCCCTTTGCTCTCCAACTGCTGAGCGCTAACTCGCAGTGGGTGGGTTAACAACGATCTAGCCTTCAGGGGCTGAGCAGTACACACTGCTGCCCAGGGAGTCGTCCATCACAGACATTTGTGTCATGTCGTGTCAGGTCCGACCTGCCGACGCACAGTAACGTTTGCCTTCTCTCTTTCACTGTAGTTATTTATTGAAAAAGCCGACGCTGAAGAAAAGTGGTTCAAGAGATTAATCGCCCTCCGACAAGAAAGACTCATGGGCAGTCCTGTGGCCTGAGCAAGAAACTTCCGGTTGAGTTGACAAAGCCTTGAAAATTGAGGGTTTAAAATACTAATGTTAACTTTTACTCCTAGAAATAACTTAGCCAATTGCATAGAAAGCAAATCTCATTTCTTCCTTCATGTTCAACTGAGTATTTGCTGTTTCGAATCAAACGTTGTGAATAGTGAGTCTGTTATAAAAGATGTGAGTGTGTGAACATATTATCTTGTTAATAAAACTAATCATAAAAATGTCAGTGTTGAAGTAAATGAATATTCAGTAGTGAATTTCATTACGGTTTTTACAAAGTCATGTTTCTGACCCAATATTGGATAATTATATAAGAGTTATGATATTTAGTATAAGGTTTCATCTCCTATATATTATAAAACTTTTGAATCTCTCATCTCACCTTTCTTAGCATTTTAGGTCTCATAAAAGGTACTCCAGTCTGCACGTCACAGAAGGGCTCGGGCACCTTGAAGTACGTGATAGAGCCTTGTCTGAAAAACTTTGAATTAGAGATGGGTTTGTATTCAGTGCCCTTTCCTTTAGAAATGACAAGCCCAGTGCGTCAGTCACTGCACTGCTGTGACAAAAGCCTGGCGTCACAGCAGAGGAAAGCCTGTGCTCAGCTGCTTCCACTGCTTTTGGGCCTGTGGCAGGCAGAAGCATAGCACGAGGGCAAGGCACAGGGAAGCCGCTCAGTATTGGCCATCAGGAAGCCAAGAGACAGCATACCCTCTACTCACCTGCTTCTAGTCTGTCCCTCCCGCCAGGCAGCCTATGCTGTGCCGTGATGAAGTTACAATCCTGGGATCCAGTAACTCTCGCAGCACCACCAGCAGGGAGGAATCCAAGCCTTGAACAGTTGAGCCTTTGGGGGCCACTGTGTAGAACGCCTTTCTCTGTGGCTGAGCAGCAGAGCTCACTGCAACCCATACTAAATGTACTAGAGAGAAGGATGGATCCTCGCTGGACAAAACTGGATTTCAACCCCGGGCACAACAAATGCTTCCTTTTTCCATTTGCTCTGCTTGTTTTCACATGGTCTCTGTGAAGGCTAGAGCTTAAGACACAGCCGTGGGAAGGCCTTGGGATACGATACATTTTGATTCTCTCGTTTTCATACTTTAGAACCACGGAAATTCTTAGCTCTATTACACATGAGAAGTACGAAGAACTTGCGCTCAATTGCAAGTGCCATGAAGAAGTTTGTTTTAAGTGCTTGTTTTTATGAATGCATTTTCTGGATCTTAGTAGAGGCTGTCTTCCTCGGTCTATAAATAAACATACCCAGTATGAAGTCAGCTCTGTGTCGTTGTTAATGCATATCCACGGCTTCACGGCCGTGGTCTCAGGAGGGATTCGCGTTTCTGTAGTACTTTGCTTGTGAATTTGTTGTTCAATTTGTAAGCTGTAGATGTGCTCTCACCCCTTAGCAAGTCTGTGTCTAGGAAAGGATGTGGGTGTCAGTTGGCCGTAGGGAGCCTACACAATTTTCTCAGTATGTTCAAGGCTCCCCATCTGTGCAGCAATGAAGACCCCATGACCGACTTGATAATATACCTTCCACTCGCGTTCCTTCGGGACAGGGACACCAAAGGCGGTGACTTGAATTAAAAGGAATTTGGATTTTAAAGATCGGTATTTTGGTGAATAAATCAAATTGAAATTGGTTGTTTTTTTAAGTGGACAAATAAAGTTGGTCCTAAAGAACTCAGTGACTACTTCCTCCTTCATTTCCATATCTCGTTAATTTTGTTTCTCTCTAAAACCACAACATGACCACAGAAGCCAAATCAGATTTAATGAAGAGACTTCATAGAACATTATCAAACGCATTGCCAAACTCGAGCTAGATGATGCACCCTGGCCACCTTTAATATCCCGACATAATAAGCCTATAAAATACAACCAGCTTTTTCATGTCGCTTGATTAGTGATAATTACCCAGCTTGTAAGAGACCTTAAGTGCACCGAAATAGAATTGTTGTGAACGATAGGTGCTATTTCAAGTTAGGTTTTTATTTCTGATGCCAGGCACACTGCTAGGAAGAATAGACCAAGAGCAAGAGCGTTGTTTCTGGCGCTCACTTTATGAGGAGGCCCAACAATAAGGAGACTGGGTGCTCGGGTCATTTACCTACTTGAGCATCTTTTTTTTCTAATTTATTTATTTATTAAAGATTTCTGCCTCCTCCCCGCCACCACCTCCCATTTCCCTCCCCCTCCCCCAACCAAGTCCCCCTCCCTCATCAGCTCAAAGAGCAATCAGGGTTCCTTGACCTGTGGGAAGTCCAAGGACCGCCCACCTCTATCCAGGTCTAGTAAGGTGAGCATCCAAACTGCCTAGGCTCCCCCAAGGCCAGTACGTGCAGTAGGATCAAAAACTAATTGCCATTGTTCTTGAGTTCTCAGTAGTCCTCATTGTCCGCTATGTTCAGCAAGTCCGGTTTTATCCCATGCTTTTTCAGACCCAGGCCAGCTGGCCTTAGTGGGTTCCCGATAGAACATCCCCATTGTCTCAGTGTGTGGGTGCACCCCTCGCGGTCCTGAGTTCCTTGCTCGTGCCCTCTCTCCTTCTGCTCCTGATTTGGACCTTGAGATTTCTGTCTGGTGCTCCAATGTGGGTCTCTGTCTTTGTCTCCTTTCATCGCCTGATGAAGGTTAATATTCAGGAGGATGCCTATGTGTTTGTCTTTGGATTCACCTTATTTAGCTTCTCTAGGAACATGAATTATAAGCTCAATGTCCTTTATTTATGGCTAGAAACCAAATATGAGCGAGTACATCCCATGTTCCTCTTTTTGGGTCTTATCTAGCATATGAAGTGAGGATATTAACAGATGACCTTCCTGCTTTGATTTTGGGGGAGGGGGAATAACATTAAAAATGCTCATAGAAAAATACATTACTTAGCCCAAGTGAACATTTTGACTTGGGGAACATTTTAATGAAAGACAAATTAAGCAGTTGCATGGGCAATTGTTTTAAAAGCTACCCACCAGTTTATGTGTGTTTCTTTGGACTTTGAGCTGATCTTGGCAATAGCCCACATCCCTGCTCTGTGTTTAATCAGTTTTCTCTGATCTGCTTCCTTGACAGCACCATGAAGTTCTGTTCTGTCCTGGGGGAGCTGCAATGAGCCTATTTAGGAAATCCAAAACTTCTTCATGGTCCTGTTTACCACCTTAGTCATGAATATTACTCTGAGTGCTTCATTTATGCTCAACGCACTTTTGGGACCTTTGGACAGACACAAGGTATATCAGTGAGGGTCCTGCCCTCAAGAGGCTAAGCTACCAAGCCTAGGCATGCCGGTAATATAAGAAATCTAACACATACTAGCAGGAGAGAAGACTGGGCTATGTAAAAGAAAAAGCAAAATTAGTCCGAATCCAAAAAAAAAAAAAAATCAAGAAGGCTTCCTGGATGAAATTGCAACTGGTCTACAACAGGTCTTAGACAGCTAAGATGCCTGGAGCCTCCAGCTCCACAGCCTGACTCACCTTTTTTTTTTATTATTTATTTATTTATTTATTGCCTGTGCTTGGGTCTTTCCCAAAGTTTTTGGTTTAGACATCAATCAAAATTCTTGTGATGAAATGACCAGACAACTGTTAGATACTACCCTAAGGAAACTTACTCTTGGAACTCCCTTGTGGAAAGTGTGTCCTCCTCATAAGGACATGGCTGAGGCTTTGCAAGAGAATAAAAATAGAGATAAAGAACACTGTGAATCTGAGTATTATCCTAACCTTTGCCATGAAGATGGACTTTTAATATTTCATCTCCAATTTGTGGTAGTTTTTTTCCCCTAAATCAAATAAAAAACGTCCAGGCATATTACATCTCAGGACTACTTTTGCTAACATTTTACCCCAGAATTTGACCCAGTGTTTGACATACAGATCATGACTATATATTTTTAATTATGAAAGACTTTCCCTTTTCAAATAGCAAGTATTCTCAACTGGCTGATTATTTAAATTGCTCAGCTAGGGGTAGGGTATTTATGTCCATTTCTTATTGCTGGGGTAAAATCCCGGAGGGAAGCCACTTCTAGGAAGAGGATTTACTTTTCCCTGTGGGTTTGAAGGCTTCAGTCCATCGTGACTGGAGAGCATGGCAAAGCAGCTTCTGTGGTGTTAGCAGGAAGCAGAGTGTACCCCTGGCAGCAGCAAGGTGTTCTCTTTCCTCACCTTTGAGAGCAGTGCTTCTCAGCCTTCTTGCTGCTGTGACCATTTAATACAGTCCTCATGTTGTGCTGACCCCCAACCATAAAAATATTTGTGTTACTACATAATGTTGCTGCTGTTAAGAATCATACTTTTAGAGACAGAGATTTACCAAAGGGGTTGTAACCCACAGGTCTTTTGGACCCTTTGGGCCACTTAGCCTATGGGATGATGGCAGGCACATTGAGAGGTCTTCCCTCAGTCCTTTCTGTACATACGCTCAGAGTCACAGCTAGAGGTGTACCTTACTGATCTAGACACTTCTCAGGTCAGTTAGATTGACAGAGTAACAGTTATCATGGTAAAGTGCAAGATAGGAATTCAGGCTTCAGCACCAAAAATACACAGTAAATGCAATTAAAATAAATTTGTCAAGCTCATTGGAATGAGTACAAAAAAATTTTTTTACAACCAACCTAGTCCTTTTTCTCTGATTTAAATATCCAGTGTCTTTAACCCTACTACAAAATTTGGCTCCCATGAGATGTACGATTTGTGGTATCCTCCCTTCTGGATTAGCATCTACCAACAGTGGCTCCAGACTTTAAAGCACCTCATTAGTCCCATATTTTCCCAGGCTTTCATTAGCGTCTACTTTTCATTGCATGATGTGCATTGAAAATTTTTAAACCGTAAATTTTTTTTCCCCAATACCAGCATAATAAACTTAAAAGACTGGTAGGCAGTTTTGTTTCTTTGTTTTGGTTTTTTTTCCCAGTGATGTGGGTGTGACCGTTCAGGAGCTACGGTACTCTGGCCTCCTGTAACTTCCTCTCCTTCCAAAGAGACAGATCAGTTTTCAACAACTAAAACTCGCCAATGGAGTAAGACAACACTTTATACTCCACAATGTACCACCTTATTTTTAGGTCTTCCAGAGGACTGGCAAAATGAAACCGCTGCAGTTCTCAGAGTGGTGAACTGAGCTGACCCTCTCTTCCTGGGATCCTATGCATGGTACTCAGATAAACCCATAGAAAACTCTGCCTTCAGAAGCCTTTCAGCAATGGGCTGCCAAGGCCTTGTTTCTGGCAAATTCCACGACCGTGTCTATCTATCTCTATGATCCTAAAAAGTTAAAATGGAGTTTTTAGAAAAACACGGATGGCCCCCAATTTCCAGGATGATGTGTTGAGACAGGTGGGGTATTCTTGAGGGTTTTTGTTTTTGTTTTGTTTCTTCTAAAAATCTATGCATAGGTCATTTATTTAGACTTTTTGGAGCTTAGAAATTCTCCTTGACCTCGAGAAGGTAAGTCTTAGAATTGTCAACTTTGTAACAGTTGGAAATAGTGGTTTTCTTCCAAAACTGCTGTATGCTTGAATGACCAGTGTCTACTCACCTCAGGTAAGAAAATAGAAGTCATCTAAAGTTATCAAAAGTCTTATAAATGTGCTTTGCTGCACTTCACAGAAAACATGTTTTAGAAGTGTGCCATCGTTCAGAAATAGCAATGTGGGCCCTGTGTCATTTAGTAGCTCTCTACCAAGAGCCCTCGAGCCTTCACGGAGAGACTCATCTTCCCGTTAGCACCTCTTCCCCGTGCCTGTGCTCATCTTCAACAGTGTGTGGCCCACTTTCAACAGGGGCACTCATTCAGGCTTTCTACAGACCTTTATAGCTGGAGCTGAGACGGGGACAGGTCACTGGCGCTTAAACGCTATTGTTCACAACAGGCTCTAATGTGAAGTTCTGATTTTAGGTATTTTTATCTTAAAAATAACTCTGGTACAATTTCCAAGAAACATTCAACTAATTCCTAAGTTCCTAGAGAGGATATTTAAACAGAGATCTATGATATCCCTGAATAGGAGTAATATTAAAATATGTCTTTTCTCATTTGAAAACCTATTTTGGAGTTACCACAATCTGTGACCCAAAAAAAAAAAAAAATCTTTGTCGCTTTTTGTAATAACAAAGGTAACACCGGTCAGTAGGAGTAAAATAGTAGGTTTCAGTTCTAGAATGAACCTTGTAAATTAAATGATTGCCTACCGTCTTACTAGACTGCAAGTTCTTCAAAGTTCCCAATATTTGTCAATATATTTTAGATAAATTATATTATGAGAACATTTCAGGTAGCAATAAATCTGCTCACTTGCTAGCTTTGAATGAAGGAAATAGCTTTCTTATAATGTAAAATGAGAGTTATTAAGTTATTGTTCTTGTCACAGTTGCGTAGGTCAGGCTATAGGCATACCTGCCACTGAGCCTCACACCCTGAGTTTGATCCCCATACTGGACATGATGAAAAGAGAGACCTGACTTGCACAAGTCATACTCTGAACTTGCCTCATGGAAAATAGGCAGAGAAGAGAGTGAGATCATGGGAACAAAGTCTAGACCTTCAATGGCACCCCCTCAGTGACCTAGTTCCTCTAACCAAATCCCTTTTCTCTGTTTCTACCACTTCCCAAAAATGTCATCAGATTGTGAAGCCATTTGTAGTTAAACCAATGGATTTAGGTTAGT